TTTTAATCAGAACAAGTTTAAAACCTAATAGTACTAGTGAAGTATACATTAAAATTTACTTACACCCTAACAGTTATTAAAGTTCTGTCCACTATGGGGAACTGAACCTCAGATTTTACTGTTGAGTGTTCACAAACTTACCACTGACCCAATGGGAGATCCAAGTATGGAATGAAAAAGTATTAATAAGTATTTTTTAATAATAACAAATGTATAGTAGTTGCTAACAAAACAAAATGTGGAAATATGTCCAAGTTTAATAGCATTTAACAGCACCATAAATATAAACTACATCTAAAGCTCACTAGGATATCAGGACAGACACTATAAAAGTATCTCAAATATTTGTGAATAATCAAGCTAAATACATGATAACGACTATGAACTGTAATAAAAAAACATGCTATTCTCGTACACCCCAATAAGACCTTATTACAATGCATTAAAATACCAAATCTATGTATTTAAAATCATAAATCACTTGATAAATTAGGTAATATTTTCAAGGACAAAGTATTTGATATAGCTGTATTGAAAAGCACTTAAGATAAAGAAATAATACAGTATTCACAAACAAGAAACTTGTTAAAAATAGTGAAAATTATTACAACTCAAAAAAATATTGAGAATAATTGCTTACATTTAATGCCATATATTTTTAAGGGATCTAGCTGTTTTTTGCCGTGTCTTCCTGTACCTGAGATGTTGGAACAAGCCTGAGTATCCCGATCAAACAGATAATCTAGTAGAGTAAGAGCCATCTTCTCTGGTGTGGCACAACTCTGATTAACTGCTTCTAGGTCACTAGCAAAGAGAAAAACCTACACCATTATTACACACATGAACTGTAAAACAGTTTCAGATTGAAAATAAAACAACATTAAATAAGTGTTGTTCTAAAACTAGTAGAAACCATGACAGAAAGAGAGAAGATAAAAAGGCTTTTCTTTAGAGTACACAGAATACTTCAATGAGAAGGAAAATGTAAATAAGATTGCACAATATTGTGTGGATATTATACATTAACTAGAAGAGTTTAGGTGTTGTGTTGTAATTTTCTTGGTTAACCTTGGATTGGTTAAAACACATGTTACAAACAGCATATCTATCCACTTTTAGGTACAGAAAAAATGCAACATTTATTTTAAAACAAACAATTTTGTACAACAAATACACATACAGACTAGTGGCAGGTAAATATATGAATGCAAAATGATAACAACAAAAATGTAACACAGAAGAAACACATTTCTAGATTATTGTAAGGTTTAAACAAAATTCTAAATTCACATCCGATAATTTGTAAATTTACACGGACACCATCAAAGACCCAATTAGCTCGTAAACAAACTGGAAGGACTTGGCTGTATTCCTTACATAATCTTAACATAGATATTATTATCATTCAGTAGAGCTTTAAATAAAAAGCTTCTTATTTTTATGAATTTTATGGGGGGGTCAGAGCTCACAAAAAACCCCCATAATTTTGAGGTTTTTGGTCAATCACTCAACTGTATTTTGACTAATTATGTGGGATTTGGTACAAAGATATTTTTTTTTACAGGCCCCACACATTGACAAACAAAAAGCATAATTTCATAGTTTGTTTGACAATTATTATGCTGTATTTTGGTCAATTTCCATGGGATTTGGTACAAAGATATAAACAATTATCGAATTTTTGGCTTTTGCTCACTTTTTCACTAAGGAAAGCACAATTGGTAGTTTTCATTAATTTTATTGTGTATGTCAGCCAAGTTACATGGAATTTGGTAAAAAGATACCTTCCTGCAGGTCCCAAGTAGTGATATAGACAGTTTTTCACCATTTTTCTGGTGTCAAAATTGGCCATGTTGGGATTACGTGGCAGAGACATGTTACATTTGCCTGCAAATGTTGGCCTCTTTAATTTGTTATTGCCTTTATCAAAATTAATACAAGCTAATCAAATGAAAATTGGACATCTGTAACAATAACAGAACTGACTTATCAATCTAGTATCAACTACATACTAGTAAGTCCTAAATATCAAAGTTCTGCAAATTTTTGACTTATAATTTTGTCCTAACATTGGGAAATTTTTTATCACTGCTTATCTAATGCTTTTTTTTTCCTTCTTTCTGTCAAAAGCTTTAAGCTGTCATTGCAGTGCACAAGTGGGAAAATGTCTAAGACAGATTAAACACTGCAATTACATAGTGAATAAAGTTAGTTGATCCAATAAATCTTATGCGTGTGTTGGTTTGTTACGGATTTCCCGCAAAGCTACACGGGGGCTATCTGCACTAGCTGTCCATAATTTAGCAGTGTAAGAATAGAGGGAAGGCAGCTAGTCATCACCACCCACTGCCAACTCTTGGGCTACTCTTTTATCAGCGAATAGCGATCTAGCTGTTTTTTGCCGTGTTTTCCTGTACCTGAGATGTTGGAACAAGCCTGAGTATCCCGATCAAACAGATAGTCTAGTAGAGTAAGAGCCAAACATGTTTGGTGTGACGAGGATTAGAACGCGCGACCCACAGATTATGAGTCGAGCACCCTAACCCAGCCATGCCGGGTCTCTTATGCATGTGATATCACACACTTCCAGTTAAATGAATGTAATGATAGAGAACTGACATAAGAAGTACACTAATAATACAAACTTTCCTTGAGAAAGAAGAAGGAAAAAAATTCCTGAATTGCAAGTAACTGCCACAATATTTATGACATGATAAAGAGATTGCAGCTTCATGTTGAAAGAATTGTAAGAGTTTGTACATTACTGTATATACTCCTTACATCTGAGTTGTACCTTTCTCTTACATAATTACCAAACTAAGTAGTCATTTAACAATACAATATCCATTTTATTATATACAATGTACTTCTCCATGTTATAAACAAGTACAATGAATTGAAGAACATAGCTTTTCTTCCATAAATCTTTCACACCAAAATTGGTGCAGTTTTTCTCAAAAACAAAACTGTACCATTGAATTGAAGAAAATTAAAATAAAATAAACTTGCAGTCATGTTTCAGAATTGAAGTAGTATTAATAAAATTACCTACAGACTAGCAGTCTGTCTGGTGAAAAATATAGCCAGGCCTAACATGCTTGGACATATGTTGACTTTGTTTTTATTATGAAATACTTCTTACCCCTACTGTCAAACTGATATGTAAATAAAGCTCTCTTAACCCTATCGTTACGGGTTTTCCAATGGTCAGGGGGTCAAAGGGCATGTCATCACGTTTGTAGACTTGCATTCTACAATTTTATGAATGCGTGTCAATATGTTTGGTGTCAAATTACAGATTGAAATTCAAAGTTTAGTAATATACATTACTTAATTTCTTAACTTAAAAGTAAATATTAAAAGCAAATTTCTAAATATAAATTTTTGTGTGTCATTTGGTAAGCTGAATGCAGCTTTGGTTCAAATTAGATGTTTGTGATATCCAAATACAAAGTCTGTGGTTTCTTAGGAGTCAGAAACTCAAATTACTGATATTGACATGCTAGAATATAAAATAAGAACCTCCTATCTTTTCTATATACTGAGAATTGACAAATCAAACACAATGGCCCTGCCCTCCTCTTCCATATTTGGAAATACTTGCTTACCTACACTCACTTTGTTCTATCATGCATTTATAACCAATTAAAAGCTCAGAACTTCCCCCACATAGTTTTCTCAGCCCATTCAAGGTATCTATTTCCCATGTTTATTTTTTTGTTTCTGATCCCGACAAGAAGGAGAAAATGTGGTTCGAAAAACTTTTTTTAGACCTAAATACAGTTTAGTTAGTTTGTTTGTTTGTAGTTAAGCACAAAGCTACACAATGGGCTATCTGTGCTCTGCCCACCACGGGTATTGAAAGCCAGTTTCTAGCATTGTAAGTCCGCAGACATACCGCTGTGCCACTGGGGTGGCCAGTTTAGTTAGAAAGCCTGATAAATTACAGTGGAACATTGTGATACTGGTAGAGTAATTTATAATTTTTTGTTTTTTTCAGAATGCATATATAAAGCCTAAAAAATGTTATTTTATTTTATATCCTCCAAGTGCGAAATTCGGCAGGACTTGGCATGCAAGATATGGAAAGCAAGCACAAACTTATTTACAATTGTAAGTAGTAGAGATCATTGTTTTTTATATTTCTTTATTTACTGTTCTATGTTTTAAGAAACTTTAAGAATTTATTTGTAAATAGTAATAATATATATACACATATAGTTTAACTAAAATGTGACTGCATTTTACAAAATATTGGTCCACTGGAAAAAGCCAAGATATATCACTTTGTAAATGCCAGTATTATGCTATTGGATATGATAATATGGGATGCACGTGTGAGATGAAAGGTCAATAAAATAAAAATAATAAATATAGAGAGATGTATAATGTTACGAGACTTAATCCATTTATAATAAACATTTGTGGTCTCATATTACAATTTTTTGCCACTCTAGAACAAAAAAGTACAACTTAAATCTTATTTCCTAATTTTTTATGGTGGTTATGAGGTCAGTCAATCGATTAAACCCTTAGAAATAAGATAGAGAAAATAACAGATAAAATATAAAGTTTTTAGAAAAAAAAGTTTGATATTTATCTGGATTTTATGAGGAGGTTATAGGGATTTGTAATTAAATATGACAATTTTCTGATGCATAAAGATATTTTTCATCTTAAAATCAAAATTACTTTGTATGTGGGATGGTTAACATTCGAAAACAAAAAAAAATGTACAAGAAAATCTTTAATTAAAATATTAATAAAAATCTGATATTTTGTGTAGGAAAGCCTTCTTAAGTTTAATTATAATCTTCCAAATTTCATGAAGATACAGTGTATTAAAAGTTATTGTATGAAAACTATAAAAAGCACAAAATAGTTACAGGGTCAGTCCCTGGGACTGAGCCAGATTTGAAAGGTTAAGGATATTTTGTGTTTTAAACCTTGTTTGTTTATTCTTTTTAGTATATGTACTGCACATGCAGTGTCCTAAACTGATCTATTCTCAATTACAAATACCACTTGCAAATTAGAAATATCATGCATGCAACAATAGTTTTGTACTCAAAAGAGATTTTTCAAAATTCTTCTTCTTTACAATGACATACAAAACTTCATGTAGTCTGTATACATAGAGTTGCAATACCTGGGAAGTATGTGACACCGTACTCTCATCTCTGGATCTTCTGGGCTGCCCAGCCAAGAACCATTTGGATAATCATCTGTAGTGGAAAAGGATAGGTTGACTAAGGTAAATCTGAAAGCTCAAAAGCCTGCAAGTTCATAGATTCTAGAACCTTAACTAGTAACTGTACTGTACATACTTTGACAGGAAAGAAATAGCCAAACTATTAACTTGGAGTTTCCTAATTCTTAGACTATTTAGAAAACTGATAATATTAAAACCACAATCAACAATATTGATCAATAGTATAAAACAAACTGATGCATAAAAAAGTTGCATTTCACTTCATCATTGTATGATTTCTTTTCCCACAACACTTAGTATAGTATTTCAAAAATAAACACACACACTAACCCATATCAAACTTTGTGGGTGTACCAATGCACCACTTTTACATACTATCAAACAGAAATAATTTAGAATGAAAGACTGATGTAGATTGTTTTTCAAGCGTTAAAGTATTTTTGAAGTTAGATATTCTTTACTGCCATAGCAACTAAGTGCCAAGATATGCTTACCATGGCACTTGTCACAGAATGTACTAGTTATCAATGAAATCCAAACATATATACAAAGAAATAAAATATAGAATTTTTTATTTAAAATGAGACTTATTTACTCATTAAAAGTAAGACTTATTGACAAAGTTTACCAGGAATAGTTAATACAAGTGTAACAGAAACTATTCTTAAATGTCTTTCAATAGAAAAGTTGGACTGAACGTTATTGAAAAATTAAGCAGCTTTTTACTAATATATTAAGATTTTAAAGGAAAGTTATGAAAAAACAGATGTTAAGGAGTACGGGTGATCAGCTGTTAAAAATATGCATTTCTTTGTAAATAGTACTAGAGTTCTGAACAAATACCTAGTGCATTAAAGCCATGGGTGCAAGCCTACTGAAGTGATTAAACAATTAAGAACTGATTCAATGACCCCCTCATTCTCCAATTCTTGATACTTACCTATATAAGATACACTAACACTTGAAAATACATTCAAGAGACAGTTTCAAAACATATCCCATAACACCTCAAATGAACAATTCCTTTCTCAGCCTTGTTCCCATGGTTTTAAAGTTATCATGCTCTAGTTTAAAATATTCTGGTGTAATTGAATAGTCTGTGTGGTAAAGAATTAAACTCTGATTACTAGCCTTAACAATACGCTAGTTGAAATTTAAGTGTTATTTCTCTTTTGGAAGAATTAATCCATTTCAGGGGTTTTGAACTGTTCTTCAATGTTATAGAAATTACAGGTGCGCTATTATTTACTCTTATCATTAAGCCTAGAGTAAGTTAGTGTGAAGTTCAACTGTATTTACTCATGTTATCCAAATATATAAATATAACTTTAAACCTTGTATTTCATTATTTAAATTTATACACTATTATTATCTATAATTTATACATAAACTTGTACACTGACTCTTATTCACAGTAAAAATAATTTAAGCATTTTGATGGACCATTCCATAATTAACCAGCCATTTACAAACTCTTTTGCCAGAAAAATCAAATCATTGCTTTAAGCTCTATTTACTTCCAGAAGACATTCCTTAGAGATATCTCTGTTTAATAACTTATAGCTGCTATTGCTTTAAGCTCTATTTACTTCCAGAAGACATTCTTTAGAGGTATCTCTGTTTAATAACTTATAGCTGCTATTGCTTTAAGCTCTATTTACTTCCAGAAGACATTCCTTAGAGGTATCTCTGTTTAATAACTAATAGCTGCTATTGCTTTAAGCTCTATTTACTTCCAGAAGACATTCTTTAGAGGTATCTCTGTTTAATAACTTATAGCTGCTATTGCTTTAAGCTCTATTTACTTCCAGAAGACATTCTTTAAAGGTATCTCTGTTTAATAACTTATAGCTGCTATTGCTTTAAGCTCTATTTACTTCCAGAAGACATTCCTTAGAGGTACCACTGTTTAATAACTTATAGCTGCTATTGCTTTAAGCTCTATTTACTTCCAGAAGACATTCTTTAGAGGTATCTGTTTAATAAC